CGCGTGAATCGCAGTGACGGCTTACTAATCAATAGCTTATGATTTCTTCTTATGTTTCTTAGTTTTAGGAGCCCACAACTTCGGATCAAGATCACCAAACATGTACATAGTCTCATTGCCTAGTATGTCAGGATTCTGAGGCCCAAGACGATTTTCGATATAGTCTCCGAAGGTTGTTGGCTCCTAAAACTAAGAAACATAAGACATACATACTAAGAAACATAACATAAGAAACATAAGAATCATAAGCTATTGATTAGAAAGCCGTAGGCCGCGTTCATACAGACGGCATCCGCGGCATCCGTGGCCTCTGCGGAATTTTCAGAGCAAGCAAAGTATACGTATCGATTTGGAAAATTCCGCAGAGGCCGCGGAGGCCGTGGCCTCCGCGGCCTCCGCGGATGCCGTCTGTATGAACGCGGCCTCACTGCGATTCACGCGATGATTTTTTTCACGATAGCAATCACGGGTGGAATAAGGCGCGGTTGGAAAAAGTAAGAAGGATCCTCGAATGGATCTCGCAGCTACTCGTACTTGCTAACATAATCAAAAAACTGGGCACTATCTCATTCACTATTTCAGCTTCAAAAACTCAAAAATATTTGGCAGAACTCTGCCCACAATCTTACTCGCATAACTGGCGCCTAATCGCCGATTCAAGGCACCACCTTCTTTTTCAAGAAATCGAAGGAAGCCTGTATACGGTTGGTTACTTGACATCCTGATCACGAATTGGGCGTGATTTTGCCGCTGGCACCATTTCGGGCCAAATGGCGCCGACTTGGCGCGATCACATCTTTTTTTTGTCAAAACCGATGAAAACTTTCATAGCAGGGTTGATTAATAACCTGACCACCAATATGGCATTCATTTTTCGGCACCAGCGCAATTTAGCGCTCTGCTAAACTGAGCTCGGGAGAAGGAGTGATTCCCTTCGCGGCTGGCTCAGCCTCAGCAAAGCGCCAAAAACACGATGTCAGTGCCCTACATTACTGCTGGTAGGATTAATGTCATATTCGCGATCCGGATGTCAAAATGAATCCCGCATACAAGTTTTTATCGATTTCGAACGAAAGGAGGCGATGGCAATTGGCTGCAGTATCAGAGAGGATTGTGAAATTCGTTACAAGGATTGCAAACAACCCGCGTGTACAAGTTTTTATGCATTTTGATGAGAAAGGTGGCTGCGCCACATTGGCACCCATTAGTGAAATGGCGCCAGCGCCAAACAGGGATATCATATTTGTGATCAGAGCACCGAATAACCCCTGCAAGCGAAGTTGCAGCGGAAAAATTCTGAGTTCTTGGAGTTCTTACAGTGGAATACTGCCGAGAGTTATAATTAAAAAGTCGTACCCGAGTGTAACTGTACGTGTTTGCGGAATTCAAAGTAACAGGAGAATCCTTCCAATCCTCGAGCATTCGCTGTTTGGTTGTGCGCTCACGGAATTCCTCATTGTTGATGTTATAGATTATCACTGGCTCACTATAAGCGAATCTGAAGAGAAATCCTTGATAAAAACGAAGAGAAATCCTCGTTTAAATAGCTACAGACGATAAGAAATTGTATTTTAATACCTTCGAAGGAATTCCTTTTGAGTCAGCTCTTGAGCGTCATGTCTTTCAATGTTGCAAGGTCCATCATGACCAACCACGTCGCTCTTCTCGGTATGCCATCCCCCGTCATCGATCGCCGCATGTTCCGCATGCAGTAGCAAACAACAGAAAAACAAGAACAGCATGCATATCATGCTTAGAACAAGCAGCCATTATTCACTATAACATCCAATAAAATACTTTAGATATACCAGTTTCGGTTGTGACTTGGACACAACTAAAGTCATAGAGAAGCCCTTCTTCGGAAAAATTCATGTTGTTAAAGAAAACAAAGCAGTCCACTGAACAACACGTCCCAGCAAAATCTCTACAGCAAGATACAACACAGAAATATAATTCATATAACATCGCAATAATGAAAAAAACGATAGATATCTGCACATAATTTTTACACCATTTCCCCATGAAGGCTGCAGTTCTACGGAACAGGGAGTAACGAAAGTAATCTAGTACTCTGAGAATCACCACAATAACCGTTTCGTCTATACCTACTGTTCGAACAAATCTGTCACTCGGCTTCCGCGGCTGGACAATGAATATCTGAAATCGTTATAAAGAATTAATACATATCGACCTGCAAAATAAAGAAAAAAAAACATCCACATCTGACAAGAAAATATGGTTAAGGTAAAACATGAGATTCATGAGTTGGACAACGTCTTGTGTAGTAGCACTCATGATTTTTCCGGCGACCATAACACACTTTTATTCGTCGTTAACAGCAACATACCTAAGTTGTTCATGAGCGATCTCAACCAATGACGGCTTGACTTATCCTCGTCCAGAATTGCCTTGAACGTCTCATCCTTGAGCTGATCTGGCAAACACTGGCGTAGGGCTTGCTGTGCGCTAAATAATGTACTTTACCGCTGAATAAAAACTATTGGACTGCTGTTACGGATAGTGTAGATCCTTGCAAAACGTTTAGGCAATCATACAACTTTGGATTTCCTTACGATTTCTATCCTTATTTAAGCCGGGGGTGAAGACACTTGTGAAAAAAACGGTACAAAAATATAAAAATGTTCAAACACGAAGATCATGCTGAAAAATTTGTTATAAATTTGTGTGCTTTACAATGATGGTACTATAAACTGAGCGCTTTACATTAAATGGTACTCTGTAATTGGCTGGTAACATGCTCATAGCAAACTCGTCGATTTTTGTACTATTCAGCTCATTTGATGGATGCGCTTGACGGCATGCCTCGTGTTGGACATGAAGCCGCTGACAGCAAGCCATGAAGGACTGGCCATTGAGCTTTCGCATCAAAATACGCGAGGAAATAGCTAGTCTGCTCAATGTATGAGCACGCTCTCCTACCCACCTGACCGCGCAACGGCCAACTTTCCACTCTCTCAAAGGTGTTCCCAGGGGTGTGGTTGTTGCCCACAGCTATCATCTCCTTATATACCGTATGTGGGAGGGAGGTGAACTTAGGAGAGAAAAGTGAGGTTGACGACATGAACTACTAGGGGAAAGATTCAAGAAAAAAACTAAAGCGCAGAAAAATGTAAAAGAGTTGATCATGCAAAATGTCACATATTCAGTCATCTAATTGAGAGCGGACGTGCTTGTCGAGTGGTCACTATCTCTTCTGTAATCCCTTTCCTTGCTGGCGATCTATTTATTCACATCGCGTCTCGTCACGTGATCTCAATGACCCTGTAGTTAGCTGAGGGAAATCTTACCGTGGATTGTCACTTAGCCGGCTATAGCATCGAATAACATGCTTCAATAACCTAGACGAAGGATCTCTGGACAGCTTCATCACCATTTTTCCCTATAATTGGAGTTGCTGCCGAATGAGAGAATTATTTATACAAAAACTAACTTACGAGTATCAAATGCGACATGACTAAGACGTTCGTGTTTGGACAAATATATTATAACCGTCGTGCCGTCAAGAAGAATCTTGTTGAAGATGAAGTCGGCAACTGTTTTTTGACATATTTCTCGTGTCCTTGTTCCATGATCGACAGACCACAATGAACAATTCGGTGGCACAGTAACAAGGAATGACCTGAAGCCGGTCCGAAATATTTTAATGGAATAGTTTCGACCAGATATGCTACCATTTGTAAAAAACCAATTATCTTTTCTGTTTGTTACACAAACGAAACGAATTATGGTCAACTCTCTCATCCCATATCCATTGAAAATTTCAAACTTCGAACCTCTTTCTCATCTGTTTTGACCAAGAGCTCCGATGACTCCTAGGGAAGTTTAGACGGACGAAATTATTCATACGAGTTGCGCGAGGTTTTTCGTCGTGTAAGAACTTGGGTCAGAGATACGAGTGTAGTGCGCTGGAATTGACTGTCTACGATGGAACAATGAAACAAAAATTCTTAGACAGGAGAACCATGTCTTTACAAAAGTAGGAATTATTCGACTTTTTCACCTGTTCTCATGTGAAGCATCAACGTTACTTCGCTTATTGCACTACTCATCTTTACTCTGCCTGCTTCTAACGCTTTCATAGAAGACGCACGTTTAGACTCGACTTCTTCTCACTAAAAGCACATTCGCTTGAAATTTGTGCGTGGGAGTGCTCGACTTCATGCACTGCGAATATCACCGGCCCGCTTGGCTTGAAACAGCGGACCCAAGCGCGGGTGCCATCTTTAATTACTAAATTCGTACAGGAACTAAGTTCCGCAGAGTATTTGACCTCTATAGACAGGAATATCACCACTGCATTAACCTGCTAAGGAAGTTGAGATCGGAGGATTACTGTGAACAGCAGCAGCCTTCCTTCTGTATTGTGTGCTCCTTCTTTCAGAGGCAAAAGAGGAGCTATTTTGTGCTCTGTAGGGCTAAAACAGCAATAAATCCGGATGCTCTATCGGCAAGACAATCGAAAAAAGGTACTGCCTTGTTTTCTAGATCTGCTCGTAGCACTAATTTTTGTCCGCTGGTACAAAACGTTGAACGCCACTCGCTCCACCAGGTGATCGCACCATGGCTTGTTTTGACGCACGGCGCTTCAACGAGGAGTCCAGCCGATCTCCCGTCCCATGCGTTAACAGAGCAGAACCAGAAAAATGCGACGAAAATACAATGCATTTGTGAATAGACTTGGCACGCAACTGCGCGTATCCAAACGGTTTGAAATCAATGGATTGTGATTATTACGCGTTCAGGAGTTGATCGACCTGTGAAAGCAATCTTATCCAAAATCTACCCCTTGATAGAGAGCCCGTATAATAAATTTGGTACTGTTCATAGAGAGACTAGAGCAGTAAAAAGAGTAAATAGGATCCTGTTAATGTCTGATGGAAGCTAAAAATATGTACATACTAACTCATAAAACAGGTTCCTTTCACAATCCACATGTAGCACGCAGGGACTAGGGCGTAGGAACTCCATCCTGGCACCCTGTTTTTCATATTCCGTTCGTTATTTGGCCCCATTCCCAGTCCACTCTAACCCATTATTCTGCAACAACTTAACAAAAATGAATTGTTATAGGACGGCTTCCTTTGATACATCTCCCAACTATTTTATTTGAGTCAGCCTTTTCCATACTGAATCTGGCTCTTCTCGATTATCCACGCAACTGTCCGTACGGGTTCCGGCACGTTAGACGCAATGAGAGATTTTCAATTCAAAGCGAAGAAGGTAAACTCTTGGAGAGATGGGTCCCAGTGATCCTTCGTGACTTGGCAACGCACTGGCTATTAGTGCATATGGCGTTACAGACCCGATTGGACTGAGCTGCTGTCAGATTTGCTGGCATTATTGCAGGATAGATGGCAATGACCTGAAAAACAACAAATAAATAAATAAACAACAAATAAATAGAGACTAAGGAAGAAATACCACAAAACTGAGCATGAACTCGCTCTAATTCCTGCAGAAAGTCGCCATGCGTACCAAAGAATAAGCACAACGCAAATAGGGACCAGAGCACACATTCGTTCTTTACTCAGTTCGGAGAGCTATTTTCCCCGTTGTTGCTATCTTTTCAATCCAGATCCATTAGGTAGAATTTTCTTCGCCGAAACCTTGGGAAAAAAACCTTGGGGAAAAACTTGCAAAACTTGTAAATGGTATTACAGACCAATAATAAATTAAAGCATCCAACCTGTCCACTTGCATACCAGGAGCAGACGGTTGCGCAGCCTGCTGCGCTTGTGTGGCAGGAGAGGCACGAGCATCTGGTGGCGCCAAGGTGATCACTTCGTTCATAGGGATCATATTCTGAGGAACCAATCAAAAAACTGAACAGAAACTCTCGGCTGGAATGCGTTTGTCGGAAACACGCAACGGCTTGATTCTCACGTAAACGAACTCATGAAAATCGTCAAGCTGAACGTACTGGACGCAATACGTACCTCCACCCCTCAATTGACGTTGGAAAAGTTGACATTGACGTATTTTTGATGGTTTTCTACGTGTTTAAAGAAAGCCATCATTCAGCGTCATTTTTTCTTGTTAGAATACTTGCTCATAGGAGGGTAGGACTTGAAGAAGCTCTATACGTACTGTGTCAACTTGAGCAGTGAAGGTGCGGATCGCTGCACTCCCAGAAAGCCGCTTACTTTAAAATCCGCCACAGAGCACACCATTGGTTGGGGATTTTAGTCGAGTCCGTACACCGCCCCCCTCTTTTTCTTGGGGGGGAGGGGGGGGGGAGGTGGGGGTTCGTACGATACGATCCCTCCCAACAATGAACAAGTACGACCCCCCCCCCCTTTACAACGTCCGTGAAGCGAGAAAAATCAACTATCAAAATTTTTTCTCAGCCCAAATACGACCCCCCTTTCCTGGCGGCCAAATACGACCCCCCTATTGGGGATTCCCCAACAACGATGTGCCCTTGTCCGCCAGCTGCTGCAAGCTTGGACTGTCTTCCCGCACTCGCGATTTCGTGTACAAAAATTGGCGCCAGGGCACATCGTTGTTGGGGAATCCCCAACAGGGAGGGGGGGTCGTATTTGGGCTGGGAAAAATTTATTTTGATAGTTGATTTTTCTCGCTTCACGGACGTTGTAAAGGGGGGGGGTCGTACTTGGTCATTGTTGGGGGGGGGGGTCGTATTTACGTTTTGGCGTTGTAGGAGTGGTGGTTGACTTTTGGTGATTTTCCTGTTTCATGCGTACTATATGCCTGCCCCCCCCCCCGCCCCGCTCGACAGCAAAATTTTACGAGCGTGGATACGAGTACCAGGGCGGAAGATACCCAAGATGTTCCTCGATAAGCAGGAGCTGGCTCTCGCCCATCACCTTCATGTACACCAAAATATGAAGTCATCTCCAGTCGCAGCCTGACTGGAGAAGACCTTTGGAATTCATGTCACCTCCAAACAGCTGCGAAACTTCTAGTATGGAGTCACCCATGGATAGCTACCTGGAGACCAGTACTCTCGATCTGGAAGACCTCCAACATCGAGCAGCTCCGACAACGTCGCTACGGTCCAGGACATCATCTTCACCCCATTCACCAAGGCGCGGGTTGATGGTGTGGACCGGACGTACCTGGAATGGAAGACCGATATTTTCTTCGTGGACCACTGAAGGTGAGCGCTGGCGGTTACATCGAGCAACTCGAGAAGAATATCCTCATGTCGTCGCCCGTACCTTCTTGGAAACTTTGTACTGCTACAGGTTTGGGTGCCACCACATGGAATCGAAGGGCGTTGGAAAACTCTCGCCTACTTGGAATGGAAGGGCGTTGAGTACCTGAAGAAGATGGAATATCTAAGTAGGTCACCTGACCTGAACCCCCTCAATTACCTGGTTCGGGCGGAGTTCAATAGGGTGGTCTACAGTGGCGGAGAAATCAACGATCTCGCTGAACTCAGGCACCCACTCACGGTCGCGTGGCAGAATCTCTCGATGGCGCTCCTCCAGAAGGCTGTGGCGGAGTATCATGCTATTTAAACCTCCATATGCGCGCGCTCAGAGAGAAAGTCATGGAAGAAAAATCTTTTATTTTTGCCCCCCCCCCGCCGTATGTGTGGACACCTCGCATTTTGACTTCCACACAAGACACTTTTAAACTGGCGAAATGGGACCTCTGTTTAATTCCTCGGGTAGGAAACCATAGTATACTTTTCTTTGTAGCATCTTGCAAGCGATTTCTTATTCTTTCATCAGTGAAAAAAGTTTCTTAGTATCAGAAGTGTGTGGACACGTAAAAATAAAGATTATCTTTGAAAGTGCGGTAGCTCCTGTATGATTTTGTGCTAGTTTGGTCATCTCCTCCGACATCCTCCTGTGCGAGGTTCCTAATGGTTGTCTCGTGTGTAGCATCGCAAGCAGCAAATGTTGTCACCTTGAAGTGATGAACTGTATTGCACTGCCGGCTGCTGTTAAAGACACCCGCGATCTTCCAACTTTTTCAAAATGATAAGTCGAGAGTCGAACATTCTGTAGTGTGTTGAGAACGGCCCACAACAGGCGGGGCGTGCCCTAAAGCAAATCCAAAGAGCTGCGGTTCGGCTCCGAGGCACTACAGACACCGAAAAGGGGATTATGGCCAAAGGTGGGTCACCGGTACCCCTTGTGGGCGGAGCCAAGCCTGAAAATTCGTAAAATGGTTCCATAGCACTCCAGGAAACGGGAAAGGGGATTCGGGTCACCGGTTGAGAAGAGCGAGGCAAATCCGTTGTCCGTGGGCGAGGGGTGCGGCGAGGTGGGCGGAGCCAAAGTTGAAAATTCGTAAAACGGTTCTAGAGCCCTCCAGACAGCAACAAGGGGTGAGCAAGGTCTGCAAGAGCTCGGCTGTTGTTGTGAGATAGACACGCCCACTGTGGGCGGAGCATGTGCCGATGTGAGTGGGACGAAAGTCAAAAACTCACGAATTGGTTGTAGAGCAGCATAGGCACCAGGGAAAGGAGGATTGTGATAAGGGGTAAGTGGACGAAATGGGGAAGTCGTATCAAAATCGGAGGACCCACTCGATGAGGGCGGTGCTCGTCACGGAATTTCATGATGCGGACCTTAGTGAATTTGGAAACAAGAAACATTTGTTGAGAAGAGAAATATATGGCGAGGGCTGAGTGTGCCTGCGGCGTGTTGAGAAGTGGTGGAGCGTGCTCTCAAGCATTAGATACTTATTTTTGCTGAATGTTAGTGCATAGGCTGTCATACTCTGGACCACCTGACATCACAGATTACAGATCATCATAGATTTGATACCAGTCGGCTCGCAGGCTGACGCCGGTGCATCTCATTCGGTAACACGGCCTGGCTTTGTCGGCCTCCTCTTATATGTTTGAATGCTGGCCATAATACCCGGCTTTAATCTCATTTCTGTACTCGATCAATGCACCTTACCCCTACGGCTAATGCCGTTTGGACTCCAGCAACTTCGGCACCGAGCTCATTTTTAAATTACCTAAGTCGCCAAACCCGCTGAAAATATGTACACAAGGGTTATTTACCATCCTGATTACAATTATGACA